CAACATTTTTTCTCACAAACATGTATCAGCATCATATGTTTTAGAAAATGAACATGTTTGCGAAAAATAGGCATAGCTCAGAAGACAACAGAATCATCGATTTAATTCCTCACTTAAGTTACACAAACGGTTCGGGTTAAAAGTGCAGATCTTAACTGTTTTTCGAAAAAACCGTTTATGTAACTTAAGTGAGGAATTAAATCGACGATTCTATTGTCTTCTGAACTATTTGTTCGCAAACATGTACATTTTCTAAAGCATATGAAACTGATACATGTTTGTGTATTTCTGTATTTCTGCCATCATGATTATCTATCAGGCTAAAGATGGCAATCACTGACTCCCCGGGCAATGTCTATTCTTTGAAAGAGGTAGATCTAACAGAGATCACCATCAAGATTAAGATAACTGCATAAACCATTTGCCATAAACACTTCACCATCCAATCAACACCTCTGCGCCAGATCCCAGGGACAGGGACCGGATCTGACTTGAAAGTCGCTGATGGTTAATTGACCCCTGGACCCCTTGTAATTGACCTAACGAAAATTATGAACCAGGAATTATGATTGAAAATCGTGATCAAATTGAAAATCAATAACATCGATTCAAATATCAGAATATTCAAAAGTCTAATTTCAACTGACAAAAATTTTGAAAATTGAAACGATCCCAACTTTCACATGAGATTATTTGTGTTCTCGCTGCAAGTACCGGCCATGGAATGCTTTCATTTTAACCTTTGGTGATTGTGTAACATGCATGCATCATTCTTACCTTCGAAAGCTGGCAGTACGGCTCCCAAGTTGCTTTTAAGCAGCAATATTCTTGAACTTGGAACTGTCCTCCATGTTGATTTCGACGCGGGAATTCCTCTATTTCTATTGGTTGATAGAACAGAATACGATAAAAAGCCGAACGAGAAATACATCAAATTTGCGAACGATATACTTTCCGTTTGTAACGCTCGCCCTTGTTGAAAGGGACTAAAATTTTTGTCCTGAGGTCTGACAAATCGCCGGAAGAGTGGAGTTTTAGTCAATTTACCGATAATTCGCAAACTTTAGTCCCGGTGTAAAAGGGTAGGAGGTCCTATCAAATTATGGTCCTACTTTCCATTGATTTATATGGTGACCTAAATACAACTCTCCCTTATTATCGTATCCACAATCAGGGCCAGTAAGGGCCTTTAAGAAAGGGGACCATAATCCCCAGGGGACCATAATTTCTTTTACACCGGCAAGCTCCAGAGGAAGTCGACATGGACATCTATGAAGTTCAGAGGAAGAAAATATGGAATTTTATAACTCTGAGAGGAATAATACATGGAAACTTCCAATTTTGAGAGGAAATTGACATGGAAAAAATGCTCAAAAAGGGGGTCTTTGGCGCGGCACATAGGTATTAAGAGGTATATTGGAATGAACCCCCCGGGACAGAACGTCAGACTTTTGTCAGCAATAACCCATGGCAAAATTACAACGTCGGAGAAACGTTTTCTTTACATCATATTTCCACTCTCACTCTCAATTACCACGTTAAGTTCATCTGTGTGAGCCAACATATGCCTGTGCCTCCACCGATCAGTATTTAAAGTTACCACAACTCGAGGCATACATGTATATTCGTTATATATTTAACATTTACTTCACGTCACAAATTAAACGAATTTGTTGAGACCACAACGTCTTTGTCACGTTCTTTTTCACATACATGTATATGTATTTTTCACGTTTAAACCCCGTTTCGTCAACGTCAAAATTAACTGTTTCGACAACGTTGCAAATAAACCAATTTCGTGAGGACATAGCGTCTTTTTGTAACGTTTCCTGCACTTACAAATATTTTTTTACATTTCAATTGAAAACACGTTTCGACAACGTTGAAATTAACCGTTTGCACTACGTTGAAAATGAACCATTTTGGTCAGAAAATGACGTATTTGTAACGTGTGTTACAATTACAAATATTTTTCACATTCAAACCATGTTTTGACAACGTTACAATTAGCCATTTTCACTACGTGGCAAATGAACCAATTTGGTGGGAAAACAAGGACTTTGTAACGTTTCCTAGACTTACAATTATCTTTCACATTTTAAACACGTTACGACAACGTCAAATTTTACTGTTTATATTACGTAGCAAATGTAACAATTTGGTGAGAACTGCAACGTCTTTGTAACGTTTTCTGCACTTACAAATATCTTTCACATTTAAAACACGTACGTTACGACAACGTCAAATTTTACCGTTTACATTACGTAGCAAATGTACCAAATTTGGTGAGAACGCAACGTCTTTGTAACGTTTTTTACACTTACAAATATCTTTCACATTTAGAACATGTTACGACGACATCAAATTTTACCGTTTATATTACGTAGCAAATGAAACAATTTGGTGAGAAGTGCAACGTCTTTGTAACGTTTTCTACACTTACAAATATCTTTCACATTTAAAACACGTTACGACAACGTCAAACTTTACCGTTTACATTACGTAGCAAATGTACCAAATTTGGTGAGAACACAACGTCTTTGTAACGTTTTTTACACTTACAAATATCTTTCACATTTAGAACACGTTACGACAACATCAAATTTTACCGTTTATATTACGTAGCAAATGAAACAATTTGGTGAGAAGTGCAACGTCTTTGTAACGTTTTCTACACTTACAAATATCTTTCACGTTTAAAACACGTTACGACAACGTCAAATTTTACCGTTTACATTACGTAGCAAATGTACCAAATTTGGTGAGAACACAACGTCTTTGTAACGTTTTCTACACTTACAAATATCTTTCACATTTAAAACACGTTACGACAACGTCAAATTTTACCGTTTATATTACGTAGCAAATGAAACAATTTGGTGAGAACTGCAACGTCTTTGTAATGTTTCCTGCACTTACAAATATTTTACACATTTAAAAAACGTTACGACAACGTTAAATTTTACCGTTTATATTACGTAGCAAATGAAACAATTTGGTGAGAAGTGCAACGTCTTTGTAACGTTTTTTACACTTACAAATATCTTTCACGTTTAAAACACGTTACGACAACGTCAAATTTTACCGTTTACATTACGTAGCAAATGTACCAAATTTGGTGAGAACACAACGTCTTTGTAACGTTTTCTACACTTACAAATATCTTTCACATTTAAAACACGTTACGACAACGTCAAATTTTACCGTTTATATTACGTAGCAAATGAAACAATTTGGTGAGAAGTGCAACGTCTTTGTAACGTGCTCTACACTTACAAATATCTTTCACGTTAAAAACACGTTACGACAACGTCAAATTTTACCGTTTACATTACGTAGCAAATGTACCAAATTTGGTGAGAACACAACGTCTTTGTAACGTTTTCTACACTTACAAATATCTTTCACATTTAAAACACGTTACGACAACGTCAAATTTTACCGTTTATATTACGTAGCAAATGAAACAATTTGGTGAGAACTGCAACGTCATTGTAATGTTTCCTGCACTTACAAATATTTTACACATTTAAAAAACGTTACGACAACGTTAAATTTTACCGTTTATATTACGTTGCAAATGAACCAAACTGGTAAAAATTCAACGTCATTGTTACGTTTTTCACACCAGCACAAATTTCGAACTTTACTAACACATTACTACAACGTCATTTTTTAACCATCCACCGACGTTTTGCTGAATGTCACAATTTTACGTTGCTTTGACGTTTATATAACGGAAATATACAACGTCTCCAGTGAACTTATATACCACATATGAGTGACGTTACATGGACGTCACTGTTTGCTGGGATTGAATTAATCAATGGATCAAAATTCGATTTGAAGACAGTCTCAGATTAGTTCCAAAGTAGGCAAAAATATTATTCTGACCAAGTTGCCTCTTATAGAACTGCACCTCATATAGACTTTTGATATGCTACATATGTTTTACAACTTTTTGATTTGGCTGTACATCGCCTTAGAACATGATTTCTCTCATAAAGATAGCTCATATGTATTGGCAAATACTGTATTTATGTTATCTGTTACAGTGCTCTCCCCATTTCTTTGTGTGGAGGATTTTGTTATTTTTTTGTGCAACATTTTAGTATTTTGTAACTTTTTGTGCAACATTTTAAGATTTTTTAAATGTTATGTGCAACATTTTACGATTTAATATTTTTTGCAACCTTTTAGAATTACCTTATTTTTTATTGTAATATTTAATTGCATTGAGGAGCAGTTTGGTTTTAAACAAATACTAGATGACCATGAGGTAGATATGCCAGAATACCTATCCGAAGAAAAAAATACGAGTCGAGGCAAAACCGAGCCTATGCACCTCCCTTCTTAATTTACTGTAGATAAATAAAAGATGGTGTTAAATTGTCAAGAAATACTTTATTTTAAAGAATGGGTCTACTAAAACAGAAGCTGAGCCTAGTATTTTTTTTCGAGGATTCTGGCATACGGGATGGTTGGAGATCTCGTTGCTTCAATACTGGATAGAACGAGATCTTTCTGCCACGTATGGCAATAAACCTCGCAGCTCTTAACCAATCAGATTTGAGAATTTTAATGAGGTGCATAATAATATAATATACACAGAAGTGCTGTGCCTCAGAGATTTACTTAACAATATGATATTTCTATGGCACCACCAAGATGTTGTGACATTTATGTCACTATATTTTTGACTGGTATTCAGCATTGACATTCAGTTTCTGTAACAGTTGTTACACTATTGTAATTGCAAATATATTTATATATTTCTGTGTAAATTCATCACTCTGGTAATATATTAATAATAACTTAAGTTCATTTACTTCAGAGTAAAATGTTTTATTTTTATGTGTACTTCCATTTTGAATCTTGATAAAGCTAATTGGATGATTAGCGAAACGTCGAAAATAAAACATTTTACTCTGAAGTAAATGAACTTAAGTTATTATTAATATTTATATTTTGTTTACTGAAATGTTGTTACTGCACTACAGGATAAGGAATGCGCTGAGTATAAAACAACCAACCACAGCCTCAACAGCCAACTCTCAAGTGTTAAATCCACACTGACCAATCTAGAGGGACAACTCAGTAGTGCTCAAAGAGATGGTGCCAAATTCAAAAGAGAAAAACTTATAATTGAAGAAAAGCTCACAGATATGCAGAGAAAATGGTAAGTGCATTGAAACCCCATAGCTTAAGTAAAATTAAAAAAGTAAATTCTCCAAACTGGAAAAAGGATTGGTATCGATATGGTAAACTTTTTGAACAAAGTCGTTTCTCTTAAACCAGTCATAAAAAATCTGAAAATTGTACACATCGTCAATTTAATGGTCATCTTTTGAATGGTAACATAATAATTTGAAAAAAAGATATATATTTTTCTCTATATTGTTTTAACACATCAGACCCTATTTGTAATGAAATGAAGCATCTATCCGAACCTCATTGGGGCAAAATGACATCAACACAACATGTTTCGATCGCTCAATATTGTAATTGTACAAAGAAAAGTTTGGTTGATTTAAAAAAGTATCTTGTTAACCCTACTATCACACCAAACTAGTTCTCACTACGTTCTCCAGAACGGGCTTCAACTGTGTACGAACGGACTGGACGTACTAAGAACCGTTTGGGATCTATTTACAAACTTCATCGAACGTACTCGAACGGGTAGGTGTTCTAGGTGGTCGTCACGTTCTACAATTAGAACGAGTGACAACGTACTAACGACGAGCTGGACGTACTACGAACGGAACCGTCGTACTTCAATCCTACTAGGGACGTTTTAACAACGAGTTGAAGTGTCTGAGGACGTGTTGAGAACGAGGTAGAACTCATTGCAAACGGGTTTAAACTGATTAAGAACGTATTTAACACTGCTTATGAACGAGTTAGCAAAAATATAGCTATCACACCAAACAAGTTGCCACTGCGTTCTTCAAAACTGGTTTTAAACTGTGTGCGAACGGAATGAACGTACCTGTAACTTTCTAAGGTCTATTTACGAACTTTATGAACGTTCTCAGACGGCAATGTGATTTTAGAATTTTGAATCGATTCAAAATTCGATTGCGACCATACCGTTCTGTTATCAGGTCATGATGACCTTCTAGACTAAGGGATGCGTTCTACGGCGTTGCACACCGACGTGGTGCGACCTGAACGAACTGCGAACGAGATGGACGTATTGAAGACTGTTTAAGAACGAAGAAGCTAATTATTTCAGACATATTTCCCGACCACAGCCAGATTGAGCCCGTTTTACGACGTTTTCGTAGGACTGGTAAGAACGGGTAAGAACGAGTTTGGTGTGATAGGGGGGTAATGAAATAAAAGTTATATCTTAATTTTTTTTTTCGAATTCTTTGAATTCTTTTTGTTAAATCAACCAAAATTTCCTTTGTACAATTACAATATTGAGAGGTCTAAGAAAATGTTATATATGCTATTTTGTTCCAACAAGCTTCGGAAAGAATATTTTATTTCATTCTCAAGAATTGGTACAAAGGAACAAAAAAACAATTGCACAAAAATCAAAAAATTTTAAAAACAGTTATATTAAAATAAATATAAATAATTTTCGCATTAAATTGTTGTCAATCAGTTGTCCAAAATTACATAAAGGACCATGTCTTTTTACAGAACGTTTTCAATAATTGGTTTAAGAGAAAAACATTGTTGAATTCAGTTCACCATATCAATACCAATCCTTTCTAAATTTAGGGCCTTTGGGTCGGTACCTTGCCTGCCCCATGCCTCAGGCTACACTCATTATATCAATGAAACTATAGCTGGTTTTGTAATTATTCCACCGAACAACGTTTGAGGGGGATATAGGAAAGCTGTCCGTCTGTTTCTCCGTCCGTCCGATATCGCAAATACGTAATAAGGATTTCAAGAAATGCAGTCAATTGGAAGATGCAACTAACAAAGTTACCAGCCTTGGGAAAAAACTAAAAAGTCAAGGCTATAAGTGTGGCATGCTGAATTTGTATACCAAGAGAGCTATAACAAGGATTTGCAATAACACATTTGTAAATTGTAAGAAGTATATTCTCCGCAAATAGGGTAAACTAAGAAAAATTAGAAGACAAGAGAAAACAACAGATATAAGATAATGAATTAACATCAGTAAGGGGTAGGGGAGAGTTTTCTGGCCAGATCAAAACTTTTTACCCACCTACATATAGTATCAAGTCTATGGACCACAAAGAAATGAAAATGACTAACATCACAATCAAATACAAGATAATCAAGACAACAAAAAAAAAGACAATAAAGAAGGAAGAAGACAACAAATGAAGATACTGATACAGCAGCAACAAATGACGTCTATTCATGTGTCTGGAAAATAACTCAAATACTGGTTGACAGATTTAATTAAGATTTATAGGCTTATGGGTGTAGGACCTTGGCTCAAGAAGGAATTTTCAATATGGCTGCTCAATTCAAAATGGCCATTATTTGTCGTAATAATGTAATCTTTGATATTTCAAACATTAGTAGATGGATTTGGTTCAAATTTGATTTGCTCATGCCTAGGGTTAAAGGAGCCACGCTGAAGAAGAGATTTTCAAAATGGCTACTAAATCAAAATCGTGACCATTTTTCGTAAAAAACGTAATGTTTGATAACTTAATACCAGTGAGCGGATTTGGTAAAAATTTTATGTGATGATGCCTAGGGACAAATAGATTTGTTCTAGAAAGAATTTTCAAGATGGTGGCTGAATTTCAAAATGGCCACCATTTTTTGTAAAAAAAAAACGTAATCCTTGTTTACTCACGTTTCAAGATGGCAGCTGAATTTTAAAATGGCTGCCATTTTTCTAAACAAAATATATTATCTTTGATAACTCAAATAGCACTGGCCATCAGACTGACAGTCATAATGTCACAGTACTTTAAACAACATACTTTAGTGGCCACTATTGCGCTATAGGCAAATCTGCTCACGTATCTGACTTCTACCTGTGGGGATATGCAAAGATAGAGTGTACAAGAATGACCACAGGACAATTGCAGACCTTAAAAGGGAAACCATCCATGTCTTCTGGCCACACCTGCTGAGGAACGCAGTCGGGTGATTGACAACTTGTGCAGGTTTCCCTACAGCAGGATGATGGCCACAGCTAGAGCATGTTGTTCAAAGTGCTGTGACATTGCGACTATCTGACGATTATCAAATATGGTAGGATGGGAGGACATTAAATGATGTTACAAATATCAGGGAGTAATTCCCAAAATGACAAAGATATGTGAAAATGCAGCATTGCAGTTTTTTGAGCACCCTTTAGTTGTGGATATTAGACTAAATATCTCAAACTGTTCATGCACGGTGGCAAAGGGGATCCTTTGTAAATGAAGTATGTGGATAATATGTCACTATTTTTTTTTTACAATAACACATATCAATTCTGAGTTGTAGTTTCTTATCATGTATCAGTGGGATTCATTCATACATTTACATGTACATTAATCAAATACAATACATGTAATGAAAGATGTCACATGGGTACGGGTGAGGAAGAAGTCGATATTGTCAAATAGACTTATGAATTTATGTAATAAATGATAATTTTAAAGGGCCTGGAGCTTCATGAACATAAAATTGATTTTGATTGATTGAGAGTATTGTGCCACGGTTGATTAACAAGAGACAGAGTGTATATATTGGTGAAACTAATTACTTGGGAAATTAATCTGCATATAACTTGGTTTAGTTAGTTTAAGGCTGCGTTTTTGAACTGCCCGCCAGCTAGTGCATTGCATAATTAGTTAATTAGTATTCCCCGTAGGTATCACGAAAAAGAACAATGAACCATGTGTTGCAAATTACATGCTCACACGTTTTCAACGAAAGCAGTTCATCCAAGCGAACTGAAACTAATTATGCTGTGGCAACCTTGTTGGCTGCTCTTGTGTGTCAACCGCATCTGCTAGTTGCTAGTGCACCACAGGAGTTAGATTGCGATAAACCTTGGTGTCTTTCAAATGAATTACTTGTATGTGAGTGTAGGTGCGCTTGCATAAGCTATTTTGTTGAAAACACACGAGCATGTAATTTGCACCGCATGGCTTATTGTTCTTTTAGTGATATCTGGGGAGAAACCTCATATAAAAAAATGTTACACAATTCACTAGCACCGCAGGCATACACAAATGCTGTCTCAGTAGCAGTCACTCACTGACTTAAAAATGTAAAGAATATGCAAAGCTTCTGAAAATTAACAGGACCGGAGTAGCTATTTTTTCAATCCTTTATTGATCTTTTCCTCAAAATGACTCATTTCCAAGTTATATATGGAAACAAATACCAGTATTTCACCTGATTTTTATTTTGGGGATTGTTTCGTCTGTTCCCCTATTCAAGTTAGATATGCATAATGTGAATGTCTTAAAAAGCTTTGAACAATGTTCTCCGTAAATATTTTACATTTTTCAGTAAATCATGTTCACATTTCCACACTTAAATACATGAAGTATGCTTCCTAAAAAGAAAAACTTGTTTTACTATAAGTGTTCTCAGTGGCGGATCCAGGGGGGGTAAAAAGTGGGCCTTTTTGGTCATTACTGGGCCTTATTTCTTAATTTCAGGCCAAATTTTGAAGAAAATGGCCCTTAAGAAAAAAGCCATGGTAGCCATGATATTCCATGGTGCATCCATGGTTTTCCATGGAAATTCATGGTTTTTCATGGTATTTTCCATGGAATTTCATGGACGTCCATGGTAATCTTCCATGGATATTTACCATGATCTTCCATTGTAATTAGTGGTTTGGTAATTGGCTTTTTATGAACATGTCATGTTTTTACCATGATACTAAGTGACTTGGAGTTGTAAAATCAACAATTTTGGCAGGTTTTATATTTACCCAAATCTTCCAAATTGAATCAATGTTTTAATGAATGAATCCAAAGCTGGATTGAGACTAATCATAGAGGGAAGGTGAAGAGATTAAATCTAAACACTAATTTGAGAGTTAGAAATCAATTTTTGATTACTTAAGGTATATGTTTTAAGCCAAATGGTGCTGGTAACCCCCTCCCTCCTTCATGACTTCTTTTTAAATGGAAATTCATGGTTTTTCATGGTATTTTCCTATATTCCTATTCAAAGACAAATCAATTTTTGATTACTTAAGGTATATGTTTTAAGCCAAATGGTGCT